AAATTGACTTACTTGCAATTCAAGCTTTTCGCCGCTTTGTGTTTTGACACATAGCGGATAAAGATGAAGTTCACCTGCAAACCGATTGGTGGGGCAAAAAAATGATGAGAACCAACATCAAAGTAAGTGATCATGTTCAATATTGCATTCAAATTTGAAAGGACATCCTCACTTCATAAAGTACTATGGTTGAGTCAAATATGAGTGTACAAATACCATATTACCAAACACATGAACTGATGACCAAAAGCTTAACCCTAGAAGACGTATGATAAAAAAAAATATCGAGAAGAAATATAACTTTTCCCGGACTCATTGTTATCTTGTGCTTACGAACTATAGTTTGAAAACCAGACACTGAAAGATATTTTCCCTACGATGCTGAAATCCAAAATAACCACATTAAGTAGATTAGGACCTCGGGGCAGAGCACACTTCGTTATCTTCCTTGTTCTATGACTAAAAAAACCTCTTAGTTAAATCAAGCTACATTTTTTTTATAAAAACAAAAAAAAAGAGCTTCAAAAATGCGAAATTCCATATTTTTAAAAACATCTATATCACATTGAAAAGAGATCAACTTCCCAAACATGCTTTGTACTCCATTTCAAATTATTTACATTCCATATGCTTTTTAAAAAAAATAAAATAAAATATAGAATCGGTCACAATTGATGTCAAATTCGACGTTCAAGCACCTCAAGAGTTCTCCTTGATATAGGATCAATTGGACTAATAATGAAAACACACCTTGCTTTGGCTGACTTTCTGGAGCAGCTGTTTCAGATTCTTTGATGTCTGCCTTAATATCTGACGATTCCTCGACTGATTCAACAGGCTCTGCTTTCGACTCCAAAGCACCATTATTAACATCTTTTGAAGCAGCAGAAGAAACTAGTGCCTCAGAATTATTTGTAGCATGGTGCGCCCCTTTCCTATTCCTCCCTTTACCGGATTTTCCCGCCATTTCTACTTCCTAGCATTCCAGAAATCATAAACATCATAAAAAATGGAAGAAAATGTGCTTCAAAATAAACAATAGAATTATGGTGCATGTCTTCTCATTCAAAATTTTAATATTTCAATCAGAATCAGAGAATTTATCATTTTATCTCTAGTCTTCAAACAAAAAACACTACCCTATTACAGCCTTCAGTAGAGTATGCTTTTATAAGAAAAAATTAATATCTGTGTGTACGTACCTAGACTATTTTTTCGCTGCTGTTTTTAAAGACACTGTATCAGAAATCCAGTTAACATTTTCCCTAGGAATAGTTACCTTATCATCCATCAGTTCATAACCCTTTCCCTTCCCCTAAAAAGGCTTTCGACAAATACAAATGCTTGAACTCAATTTTTCTGATAACTTTAAGCAACGACTTGGTACATCGTAAACGGCAACAACCAATTTGGCAGAAACAGAAATGAAACCACATCGAAAAAACAAATAACAAAACCCAGATGCAAGCCAATCAAACTACGAAGAAGAAGACATAAAACAATGAAATAAAGCGTTCTCATTTCAATTCAAAGTAAAGAAATATCTACAAATTTTACCGAGTTTCAGAGGTGTGGTCGTAAGCTGTCGAATCCAAAGAGGACGGTGGCGGAAGAAGAGGAGGAATACAGAGGTTTTGGGAGAGAGTTCGGGTGTGTGAGGTTTAAGAGAGGGGCCGACGAGTGGCTGAGAGAGGCGGCCGAAGTTTCCTCTTTCCCAAACGGAAAATGGAGTTTCCTGATTAACCCAATTTGTTGGCTTTTGGGCCTCTCTAGGTTTGGTGGTTATTGTATTTATACTCTTATTTTTACACACAGCCTTTTTTTTTTTTTTTTATAATCAATTCAGATAAAAATCTCAAAACATTAATATTAATATAGTTATAATAAAATGTATAATTTTATTTTTTTAAAATTTTTTGTCTTTTTTTTAGTTCTAATATCACGTTTCATTTTTCTATATAAATATATAACAAATTAAATTTATATTTATCGATATAATTTCAAATTTAGTCCCAAAAGGGTGGGAATTTAAAATGCATCAGAGAAGATGGAACAAGCGATTGACCGATAAGCTAATCGACATAAAAACTTGAAATTCTATCAATTAAATTCTTAAACAGTCGTAACTATCAAAGATCAAATGATACAATTTAAATTTAACGGAAAAAAATGTCTTATAAGATTTTGATCGAATGTGAAATTAAATTTTTTTCTCTATTTTTATTAATATTAAAATAAAAGTACAACCGTCAAACTTTTTAAATTACCATAAAGATCATACAGTCGAACATTTTTAATTTTTTAATTACCATGTAAGGGCTAGAAATTTATTCTCATTTCTTAAATTTTTGTACTTAATTTGGTTTAAATGTCTGGCATTTGTCTTTTTTCACTTTCAAAATATTTATTTATTTTTAAACTAAATTAAAAAAAAATTATAAACTTTTAACTTTATTTAAATAATATATTAACATTTAAAAATTTTAAACTTGAAAGGTAAAAATAAAAACATATTATTGCCATTAATTTTAAGACGCTAATATTTTATTTTAAAAATATTATTGAAAGTAACAAAAAAAAAAAAAAACATCTAAAAATACTTTTAAACGTTAGTGTGTATATATTTTATTCATCTTCCATTTATTATATTTACTGGGATTCATTATATTGTGAATATTCTCTTTATTTCTTTTTTATTATTTAATTTCTAAAATTATTTTTTCTCATATCTTAAATATAAAACTTTGCATACAATAATAATAGCCTATATTCTAACAAATATTCAACGAACTTGTAAAAAAAAAATTAACAATATATGTATTTGTCACAATCTATACATTTTTAATCCCCATTTCATTAATTGGTCGTTGGTCGTGCTAGAGACAGAAACAGTCATAGATAATTATGAGATGATATCCTTCCGAATGGGATAAGATAATTTGCACTATTATTTAATATTTTCTTTTATTTACTTGAAGAAATAATTGGAAAATAAAACAGCAAGTACAGAAATGAGTAATAACCCCTAGTAAAGTCAATTCAACATTTTGTTCGTTCGAATTTGATTGTGTCATAGCTCTATAATTCGGATTAGGTTTATCGTTGGATGAACTTCATTGCTGATATTGACCCTAAAAAAGAAACGGTAGGTACAGCTAGTTCGTGAACAGTCAACCATCGCACTGTAAAAATATAATAAGTTTTATCGATAGTCATTTGTTCCTCCTAAAAAGATCTACTAAATTCATCGAGTTGTTCCAAAGAATCAAAACGGCTAGTTATTAATGGAATTCCTTGTCGGCTCTCTGTAAAATACTCATTTGGACAAGGGCTTCCAAAAACATTGTAAGCTAAACCCGTGCTTACGAATAACCAACCTGCAATGAATAGAGAAGGTATAGTAATGCTATGAATGACCTAATATCGAATACTGGCGATAATATCAGCAAAAGAACGTTCTCATGTGCTTCCATACATGCCGAGCTTCACATATTCTTGTACAGTCAAAAGGGGATCGATTCCGTAAAAAATGAGATCAGTAAATTGAAATTAACTGAAATTTTATCTTTGTAAGATCGTCAATGTCGTACCGAGGGTGTTTTTAGAGTATACCGAATCAGTATAGCTATCCTTCTTCTGACACAGCAACGCAATTTCACAATCAATATCGAAATGAAGCACTAAATAATTTGTTTCTTCTTTTCTTGGTGTCTGTCGATGTAGAATCATGCACCATTCATTCAATAGAAAAAATTATGAAAATTCCGTTATTGGTATTTTGAAAATATTTATTATCAAAATTAAATTTTTAGTCTTACCTGTGATCGATCTGTCCCCATATCTAACGGCTTCGTCTGAACTCTCCGGTGGCTCGTGATGGATTTAGCGCCACAACTCAATTGTCCGTGCGAAGAAGTGAGTCGGACTCTGAAAGATACCGGCGTGCTACTGGTCGGAGATCCGAGATGCCCTGCCGAAGACAAGGATTGGTTCATTGATATGATGGAAAGGTTCTTTGAGAAGCCAACTGGATATAAGCAGTAGTCATGTGAGGCTTAATTTGCATTACCAGGTGAAATTTCATTTTCATTTGCCTCTAAGAGAACCATTTATTTTTTAACCGTCATAAATTTGGCAAATTTTAGTATCTTTTAGGATGACAGTCGATGCAAAGATAACCTTATTGAAAGAGAAGTCTCATACCGACTAATTAAAGAGTAAGATCATAAATTTATTCTATTGGTACGAGGTATTTTGGGAAAAACAAAATCAAAACCATGAGAGTTTATACTCGAGGTGGATAATATCAAACCATTGTGAAGATTTGTGATTTTGGTATCAGAGCAATGTCGTTAACTTTAGTCATGTCAATAGAATTTTCAAGTGTCGAACAAAGAAGTTGTAGTTTAAAAAGTGTAGTCAAGAGTGATTCAATTGTCGAACAAAAAGTTTACTTTGTTTGAGAGCTCCAAAGAAAGAGTCGAGCTCAATTAAGGAGAGACTGTTTGAGAGCTCATAAGTCTCATAAGAGGCTCTATAGCGTAGTTTGTTCGAAGGAAGGATTTTTAAGAGAAAAGTCTCACATTGACTAATTAAGAGAGAAGATCCTGAGTTTATAGGTAAGGAATACTACTATCTTCATTAGTATGAAACATTTTGGAAAATCAAAAGCAAAGGAGGGTTTACGTTTAAAATGGACAATATCATACCATTGTGAAGATTCGTGATTCCTAATACATGATCGATCAGATGACCAATATCCTTTTAGAAAGCCTCGAGGCTTAGAGGGATCACAAGTGATTGATGTCTTATAACAATTTCAATGCAGGTAAACCATCAGTTATGTATGTTGGCGGATAGAGACAAATGAACAGCAGAGGGGGAGGCCTAAACTGGCAATGGACACGTGACCGTGGGTTAGGACGGAGGTGCAAAATGGAACGAACCACAAACTCTTATAAATTTAAGCCAAAGTCCATTATTTTTCTTATTACAAGCGGAAAATGAGATTTTTAGGCATGAAATGTGTGTCAGTTTGGGTGTTTTTAGTGGTGACGACAAGCTTGAGTGAACAAAGCAAAGGCGAAACTTGTAGTTTCACCTTCTTTTCTTCCCTTGTTAGGCTGATTCCGTGCAGGCCATCGGTTGCTCCATTCCGCCCTATTCCGCCGACCGCAGCCTGCTGCAATGCCGTCAGATCTCTCGGCCAGCCTTGCTTGTGCGTGCTTGTTAATGGCCCTCCAGTTGCCGGCGTTGACCGCGACTTGGTCATGCTCTTGCCGGAGAAATGCCCTACCAATTTTGACCCCTGTATGTACTCCTCCCTTTTTTTGGTTTATAATTATTTAGGAATCAAATAAATATATAAAAAATAATAAATAGATACAAGATATTTGTTTGTAATACAAAAATATAAATATTAAATCCTAAATAATGCGAGAATTTTGAATCTTTAATTATATTATTGAAATAATTAGAATTTTGTCCATTTTTATATAATTTAATAGTTTAGGCATTTTTTACGTCTAAAATATAAAATGTCTTACACAATTTCACTCATTTATTTCATTTTTGTTGTTGTCTTTACAGGTGAAATTATGAAATGAAATGGAGACGGTGAAGTACGCGAATATAAGTTTTCAGTTCAATAATGAAATGATATACGCAGGAAGGTCGATTAAGCTTAGATGTTAAAATATCAGTAATTTAACCTTTGAAATTTGTAATAATATATATCAAATAGACTTCAAATATATTTAAACAAAGAAAAAGAACATATTGATACGAGGCATATCGTGGTAATAGAAAGAGAAAAAGATTGACCAATTTACTACTATTTTTTCATCCATCATGGATTAACCTAGTATTAATTTTACGTGTAATTACCAATAGCCGAACCGTAGCGACTTATTCTAAAATTTAATTTTCAACGTGTATTAAACTAGTCAAACGCAAACGTTCAACATATAAATAAAAAAAGTATATGTATTATTTTATATGTACATATAACAACCCTGCATTATTTTATAATGAGAAAGATTATTATTATTGTTTTATTTTTTTAGTTTTACAATTATTATATAAGATTGATAAAATTTATTATTCTTTAATATATTTCGTGTATTTCACCTTTTATATATAATATTAATTGGAATAGTTAAGTCAAATTTTTTAATTTTATTATGATTATCAATTTGACATTTTTTATATGATAATACAATAAAGTATTTAGACCATGACTTCGATTATTTTTATGTTAAATTTATATAGAATATTTTACATAGTCAACCTTTTATAATATAATTTATATTTCCAAAGTATTACGGTACCTACCAACTTTCCATAAACAAATTTAGATTCATCGACTTTCTCTTCAATTAAGTCGTAAGCGTCGATGTGCATCGTAGTTGTCCGTCTCCAATTTATCAACCAATCAAATGGCATAAATAGTGAAATGTGAGCAACCTAAGCTTGATATTTTTAACGTCAAAATTTAAAGTTTTTAAAATATAAATATAATTATTCAACTACAAATTTCTTTAATTTAAATTATTATTTTTATTTTTGTTTACTATCTACTCCATATACATTAAAATAGCTTAGTCAAAACAATGGGAAAGATTTTGAGACGTGATGAAAATAATAATAAATAAATAAATAATTAGTTTTATATCTTTAAGATGAACGTTTTTTCTATTATAACTATGAAAAATATGATATTTTCTATTTACAAGAAAGTTTACAAATAAATTTATTTGATTAATTAAATTTTTATTTAGTCTCTAAATTTTAATATTTTAAGTTTAAGAAATTAGGAAAATAAATCCTAATTTAAAAAACTAAAAAACATTTTAGTCAGTTTTAAAATTAATTAAAAATTACACGTCATAATTATTTAAAATTAAAATTAACTTATAAAAACAAAATTCAAATTCAAATTTAATAAATAAATAAAAATTAAATTTCCACTATAAATTTCATCCAAATCTGAATTCGATTTCACCAAACACCAAGAAAATGGCTGATTCATCATACTATATCCTCTACGTTACTCTCTTCTTCCTTTCCATCATTCTCCTCCGGAATCTCCTCCGGAGACCGTCGAAGTCCCTCCTTCACGGCAGGCCTCCACCGAGTCCCCCGGCGCTGCCGCTCATCGGCCACCTTCACTACTTCTCACCCTACGTTAGCAAATCGTTCCACAATCTTGTCACTAGGTACGGCGATCTTTTGTTCCTCCGGCTCGGCAACATCCGATGCCTCGTTGTCGCATCTGCGGCGTACGCGGAGGAGATCTACAAAACTCAGGACGTTACGTTCTCGTCGCGGCCGAAATTCGCGTTCGGAGACGAACTTCCGTACGCCACTGCTGGATTCTTCGGCGCGGAGTACGGCGGTTACTGGAGATTCATGAAGAAATTGACGATGACGGAACTTTTGTCGCAGCGACAAGTTGAGCGATCACGCGCCGTCCGGAGAGATGAGATGGTGAAGTTCTTGGTGAAGTTGGCGGAATGCGGCGAGAGGAACGACGCCGTGGATATGGGCGCCGAGCTTATTAGACTCGCAAATAATAGTATTTGTAGGTAAGAAATTTATCTTTTAATTGAAAATATAAAATAATTAAACTTATTATTATACTAAAGTAAATAAAAAAAATTTGAAGGCTAAATTCTAAAATTATTGAAGATTAAAATGACACTTATGCTAAAATAGTGAAATGTTTCTCAAACTTCTTGCTCCCGCATACCAATTGTATCTATATGCATTAGAATCTTGATTCATGAATCTACCGGAATGAAAAGTAAATTGGTTATATATATATTAATTGAGTTATATCATTATTTTATTAAACAGAAACGGAAATTTTCATTCCAAATATTTTGATTCTTTAACATTTTATTATGAATATATGAATAGGTTGTTGATGAGTACAAGGTGTTGTGGCAACGACGATGAAGCAGAAAAAATAAAAAAATTGGTAAAAGAAACAATGGAAATAGCTACAAAAGTATCGTTTGGAAATGTGTTCGGGGGGCCTATGGAGAAGTTAGCGTTTTGGTTGTTTGGAAGACAAGTAAGAGATTTGACCCTTCGGTATGATGAGATACTGGAGAAGGTACTAAAGCAACACGAACATAGAGCGAAGGAAGACGGTTTCGATAGGGAAGATCGAGATTTGATGGATATTTTGTTGCGGGTTTATCGAGACGAGAATGCCGAGTTCAAGATCACAAGAACCCATATCAAGGCCTTCTTTCTCGTAAGTCTATTTTTTTTTATTTTTTTTTGTTATGAATCATGAACCATCGTAATAGTATGATATTGTTTTTTTTTGTTTGTCTAGGATTTGCTTTTGGGTGGCACTGGAACGTCGACCGAGGTAGCCCAATGGGTGATGTCGGAGCTTCTCAACCATCCCGAGGTATTCAACAAACTCAGAAATGAAATCGACTTCGTCGTCGGAACCACCAAACTCGTAGGAGAAGACGACGTTCCAAATCTCCCTTACTTACAAGCCGTTGTCAAAGAGACTCTCCGGCTCTACCCCGCCGTCCCTATTGCCATGCGAGCCTGTCGTCAAGACTGCAAGATCAATGGCTTCGACGTGCCTAAAGACACGATGGTGGCAGTTAACCTATTTTCCGTAATGCGCGACCCAAAAGTGTGGAAAAATCCGAACGAATTCAATCCTGAAAGGTTCACGGGTGAGGAGCGGTACGAGATTAAGGGGCAGATTTTTAAGTTTGTTCCGTTTGGTGGGGGTAGGAGGGCTTGCCCTGGCTCCACTTTGGCGTTCGGGTTCATCAGCACTGTGGTTGCAGCCATGGTCCAGTGCTTTGATTGGACGATAGGAAGAAATGGAGATGAAAGTAAAGTGGATATGGAGATTGGAGCCGCCTTCACCTTGCCCAGGGCTAACCCACTTCTCTGTGTCCCTGTTCTTCGGTTCGACCCATGTTCCTTGGCAAAGACTGTGTTAGTGGCTTGCTCATAGTCTCGAGTTGGTTTGATTTCTTGAATATAACATCGTTTATATAGTGTCGAGATCTTTCTCGTTTAAATTCACTATAGGTTTATAATCTACCTCTCGACTCGAGGACGATCCTATTACATATTTAAATAAAAAAAATATGGTTATTAAACAATTTATGTGACTGATAAAAATAATATGTAAATTTTTTATTATTTATTTATTTAATTATTCATAAATTTATATGCTAACTAAATTTTATTTTACTAATATAAAGTTAAAATATTTTAAATAAAGTTGTTTAATTAATTAATTTTATAACATATAATTTTTACATTTTCACTTTGAAAAAATTATAAATTTAGAGAAATTTGTGCGTTTTAAGTTTATATAAAATTTGGCTTTTTAATTATTATTTTTACTCTTATCAAATTGGTTTTAAAATGTAATCATGAAAGAAAGAAAAAGGAATAATGGGATGAAAAATCACATGAAATGCGTGGAAAATTATATTTGCAAATTAAAAATTAAAAATAAATCTTATTAGCTATAAATAAATTTTTTTAAATAAATTTTGTGTGTTAAAAATTAAATTAAGGAAGGAATAAAAAAGAATTTAGTAGAGCGAAAATAATAGTGAAGATAAAAGGAAACTCATGATTCACGTTGTTCCAAAACTCCGCTCATTTACAAATTTTCATTTGTTATTTTTAAAATTAATAAATGAATTATATAAATATAAGTACAAACCGCCCCATTTCCCTCGTCCAAATTCCAATTCCCCTTTCTTCCTCCCACCAACAATGGCGGACTACATTCTCTACTTCCTCCTCTTCTTCCTCTCGTGTCTCTTCCTCCTCTTCCTTCTCCACAAAACCTCCGGATCTGCCTCCTCCTCCGCCGCCGCCGCTAAACTCACTCTGCCGCCGTCTCCTCCGTCTCTGCCTCTGATCGGCCACCTCCACCTCCTCCTTCCGGCGAATTACAAGTCCTTCTTCAACATCTCCTCCAAGTACGGTCCGCTCCTCCACATCCGACTCTGCTCGCTGCAGTATGTCCTCGTCTCCTCCGCATCTCTCGCTGCTGAGATCTTCAGAACGCACGATCTTACGTTCTCGTCGCGGCCGGATTTCGCCTTCAGTGAGGAGTATCCGTACGGTAAAGTCGGATTCCTTGGCGCTCCCTACGGTGATTACTGGCGGTACATGAAGAAGTTGACGATGATGGAGGTTCTTGCGCCGCCGCAGCTTGCGCGGTCGCGATTTGTGAGGAATGAAGAGATCTCTCGTATGCTTCATAAGTTGCTCCTCAGTTCCCAGAAAAAGGAGGTACACTCTGTAACTAACTATACTTTCCTCATCTCTTTGTTGACATGCAAATTGTGATTCGTGATGAACTTTTTTTTCTTTATTCTTTTTGTTTTGATTGTCCAAATTTGCCCTCGCTCTTTAAATCTTTTTTTAATCTTCGTTTAACTTCATTTTATTTTTAGAGTAAATATATACAAAAATGTGTGTCTATATGTATATATATATTACTTAATTTTCATATTCATCCTATTGTTTGAGAGTATGAACGAAATATTTGGTATGAAAAAATTTTTCGATATGCATTTCAAAATCGTGAAGTTGACGACTATACGTAACGGGTCAAAGTAGACGATATTTATTAGCTGTGAACTTGAGATATTACAAATAGTTTTAAAGCTAAGCAACAAACGGTGTGCAGAACGCTGAGCCATTGTGAGATCTCACATCGAATAGAGAGAAGAACTAAATGTGAGATCTCACATAGAATAGAAGGAAACATTATTTATAGGGATGTGATGAGTTGATATTAACTATCATAACTAACTGATCAAAATAGATAATATCTATTATATATCTAACATAATTTAAAATTCTCAATAAATTGTTTTCATTCCAAAAAAAAATCTCAACATTTATTAGAAAATAAAAGAGATGTATTGTCAATTTTTTGTGTTCATTATTATGAACGTGCTAACGAATAGTGTTTTCTTTTTTTTCAAAAAAAAAATGAATCAACAGTCAGTGGACTTGGGAGCTGAGTTGATAAAGCTCACAAACAACAGCATATGCAGAATGATGATGAGCACAAGATGCTCTGAAGAGAACAATGAAGCAGAGAATATCAGAAAATTAGTAAATGACACCATTGAAATCGCCACAAAGCTCGCCTTCGGAGATCTCTTCAGCGAAGGTCCATTGAAGAGGCTCCCATTCTGGCTCTTCGGCAAGAAGGTTCTCAAACTCAATATCAGATTCGACGTTCTGTTGGAGAAGATTCTGCAACAGCACGAAGAACGAGCCAAAATTCATGGTTTCGAAAGAGACGATCGCGATCTCATGGATATATTGCTGAAAGCGTATTTAGACGAGAAAGCCGAGTTCAAAATTACTCGAAACCACATCAAAGCCTTCTTGCTTGTGAGTTTTCGATTTCGTTATTGATGATTCTTCTTTTTCTTCCTTCACGCTTCAGAACCCTGAGATATCTCTGTTTCTGTTAGGATCTATTCATCGCCGGCACCGGAACGTCCGCGGAGGTTATGCAGTGGACGATCGCCGAGCTAATCAACCATCCCAACGTGTTTCGAAAGGTCCGCCAAGAGATCGAATGCGTCGTTGGATCAAGACTCGTCGAAGAAACAGATATCGTGAATCTTCCTTACATGCAGGCGGTGGTGAAGGAGTGTCTGCGGCTGTATCCGGCGGTGCCGGTGGCAAGAAGAGCCTGCCGGGAGACTTGCAAGGTGAACGGATACGATATTCCAAAGGACATCATGGTTGCAGTCGACCTGTTTGCGATAATGCGCGATCCAAATCTGTGGGAGAATCCCGACGAATTTCGGCCCGAGAGATTCTATAATGCAAATCCAAATAAAGACGAAGGCGATCAAGGAATGAAGCACATTCAATACGAGATCAAGGGACAGAATTTCAGCTTCGTGCCGTTCGGGGGAGGAAGAAGGGGCTGTCCCGGGTCGTTGTTGGCGTACAACACGATCAACAGGACGGTGGCGGCGTTGGTTCAGTGCTTTGATTGGAAGGTTGGGAAAGATGGAAATGGAGAGAAGGTGAACATGGAGATTGGAACTGGAATTAGTCTGCCAATGGCTCATTCTTTTATCTGTGTTCCTGTTTCTCATTCCACACCTTTTGTTGCTTAGTGGTGAGGAATTGTGAACGGAAGCTCCGAGATTTGAATTATATTCTATCTCGAACTTTTTAATAATGTGTTCTTCAAGTTCTTGTAGTGTTGTATCCACTTTCATTCAACCAATCCATTAGATCAACAACTGACTACATTATTATGTGCCTCCAATAATTTGGTCATTATAATTTTAGAAAACAATAAACGTGAATGACTGAAACAAGAATCAGAATACAAGAACGACAACATTAAGCTTTTGCTCAACTAAAATGTACATTATGTTGTTGACAGAGCCTCTAAACAAAAAGCTTAGAACATCAGTACTATTTTACCTTGTATCATCAAAAGTATGAAATACAATGGTCTTGTACTCTTTTGGAGACCAGTGGTATTGTGTTTGTGTAGGCTGTAAAAAGAAGCAATTCATGTGAGAATATGGTAAAGTCAAACAAGAATACTACTCTGTTAACTCCTGCAACAGCCAGAAGTTGCAGGCTGAGGCTCTTGTCCAGGGACAACAATCTTTGTTCCTTTGAGGAGTGACGAGCTTCCTCCCGAATCAGTTTCTTCGTTTGCGATCAGCGCCTTCCTGCTGATAACTCGGTAAATTTCTGTCAGGATAGTATTGAATGCTGCCTCTACATTAGTTGCCTCGAGCGCGGATGTTTCCATGAAAAACAGATTCTCCATTTGAGCAAACTCTTTTGCGTCTTCTGTGGGCACGACGCGAAGAGAGCCTAGATCGGACTTGTTCCCTATAAGCATTATAACGATATTCTTGTCTGCATGGGCACGCAATTCTTCCAACCACCTAGTTATATGATCGAACGTTTGACGCTTCGTCATGTCGTAGACCAGCATTGCCCCCACAGCACCTCTGTAATATGCACTTGTCACTGCACGATACCTGAAAATCATCCCTGTTAAGAGAAGAATAAAGAAAATCTACAGCTTTTTAAGGAGCTGTTTCTACATAATCAGAGCAACCAGAGAATAAAATTTTACCATATGCCCACGATATAACTTTATGACAAAATTATAAATTTGTAACAGCTCAAGCCTACCGTTAGTAGACATTGTTCTCTTTGGGCTTCCTCTCAAGGTTTTAAAAAGCGTTTGTTAGGGAGAAGTTTCCAAATCCTTATAAGAAATGCTTTATTCTCCTCTCCAACCGATATAGATCTCACAAAATCACTCCCATCTGAATTTAACATGCTTGGGATATCACATTTCAAGACAATATCACAGCTTGATAGTTTTTCCACTTTCTAAAGTCGATAGCTTGATGTCAACCATCGGCATTCAGGCCCTTTTAACGGGTCTCGAACATGATGTGAGATGGGTAATTTATCAAACTGTAATCATTAATCACAATACAAGACCATGGCCAGACCTCATTCAAAACTCATATTTATCTAGTCCCACGAACAATTCTTCAATTCAATTCACAATATACTGATCAGGTTTAATACCTGTATGTACAGCTATGGCAAAGTAACATATCAAAGTCAAAGATCAACAACATGAAGTCTCCCCGGGGATTGAACATGGTGAGATAAAGACACTTAACTAAGTGATTATATCCTTCGTAGCAAGAGATAAAACAGGATGTTACTAACAGATTGTTACCATAGTTAAAAAGGCATCATTAATTCGATTTCTTACATAGTACATCAAAAAAGGTGGTACAAAATGTCATATTATGTAACAGTCAAAGCTCACCGCTGGCAGATGTTGTCCTCTTTGGCCCGTTACGTAACAGTTTTAAAATACGTCTACTAGGGAGAGGTTTCCACACCTTTATAAGGAATGCTTTATTCATCTCCCCAACCGATGTGGGATCTCACATATCAAAAGCTTAATATATATATCAGAGCAGTTTCATTACGCTAAAAAAAACGTCCACACCCTCTTTTAAACTTTGGACAAATCAAAAGTTTTCCTTATTAAGCTTACTGGAAGAATTGAACATGCCACATTTGGGTAGATGTTCCTCAAAGAGTGCAAGCCTTAGCCAACGAGGCCCCGCCCCTGAGGGCTTGGTGCAGTTTCTTTATTCAAAACAAATACTCCACAAGATGAAGTAAAGTTCAATACGTATAAACATAAACATAACCATATGAAAAATTTCACATGAAAAAAAAGATAACTAAAATTAGGGGCATTGTAATCATCTGAAATGAAATTTAGCAAAACCCACAATTACCATTAAAGAAAGATGTGTAACTAACAGATCACGAAATAAATCTTCATTACCATTAAAGAACAACTATCATGCTGATATCAATCTTAAACATAGAAATTCTGGAATAACTAGTATAATTTATAGCAAAAATGTTCATATTCAAAAGCCTAGTTGAGAATCGTTGAAAAAAGAAAGAAATCCTTAAGAAAAACATGGAAGTTTGTTTGAGTACCTCTCCTGACCAGCAGTATCCCATATCTGCGCCTTGATAGCCTTCTGGTCAATAACAAGCGTCTTCGTCTGAAACTCAACCCCGATAGTCGCCTTCGAATCCAAACTGAACTCATTCCTAGTAAAACGGGAGAGAAGTTGCGATTTCCCCACCGCAGAATCTCCGATCAACACGACCTTGAAAACATAATCAATCTTCTGATTGAAATTCGATTGCAAATTAGACATATCTCAAACGAAAGAATCAAAATCTAATCCAATCGTCAAAAACAAAAAACGTAAAAAGAGGTTAAACTCGAACACCGAGCGCGATCGATCGATCGGTTGATGCGATTGCGAGGGGATTTTGATGCTACTAGTTTGCAGTTGAGAAGAACACAAAGGGAAATGGAGGAAGGATTGTGTTTGGAGAGAAGAAAAATTGAGGGAAAATAGGGTTTAGCGAAGAATTGAAAATAAGAAGCGAAAATGCTTTTGACATGGACGAAAGCAGAGGGAAGAAGAGAGACGGAGCAGCCACGATTTTTCTTCTTCTTCCTTTCGTTGTTCCCTTAGCAATGGTCAACGTTGACATGGACCAACCACTTCTTCCATTCTTCAACTCTTTATCTTTCTCTTTATGATGGTGAACACATGTACATACATATACATACATGTATGTATATATATATATATATATTCTATATAATATGCCCATGTTCTTATACGTACATCTTTATGCAATTTTCTATTTTAGAATTTATTTCAACTATCTGGTATTTACCTATTATTGAATTTCAACCGACTAATTTTACCTACTATACTCACTAATATTATTATAGAAAATAATAATAAAAAAAAGGGCTAACTCCTTTTTTCCGACATAACATTCTCGGTAATTTGTTGAAAATAGCTTCTTCCTCAACCATACCTATTTTTGTTTGTTCGGCTTTATCAACATGAAACTAACTGAGTATTTGTGTGTGTATATATATATATATATATGTATATATATTTATATTTATATTTATTTATTAACTGAACTAATAAACTCTAAAATGATTATTAATAATTTACACACAAAATAATTTTTTATTTTACATATTTTTAAATAAATGTTAAATAGATGGAAAGCTGTAAATGTCACATAGCACCATTTTTGTAGTATTGGACCCTTCGACGACTCTAAAGCCCATTTACTAAAGCCCATTTACTAAAGCCCATTTATTAAAGCCCATTGGGCATATCATTCGAGCAAATGGGTTTCAGTGACAACTTCAAAACTTTCTTATCCAAAAAATAAAAAATAATAATAACATATATTATATATATATATATATTTTAACTGATATATATATAATATCTATAAATTTGGAAAGTAATTGCAAATTGTCTTTTATTGGCCAAATAATGCCAACTTTTAGTTTTAATTTTCTTTTTAATCAGAGTCCATATTTAATAAAATATAATTCTAACATACTGTAAAAGAAGATCACTTAATGATATAATTTATCACATTAACGTTTTTTTTTCAATTTATAAATTATTAGAATAATTGTGCGTTGAATAGAGTAAAAAGATTTTGAATGATTAATATATTAAGATGCTAATAATAATTATAATAGTAATAATTAGCCTAAAAGAAAGTTGAAAGTATTAATAATTAAAAGGTAATTGATTTATTTATTATTGTTTTTTTTAGATATAAATATGGAAAGTGCGAAAATAAATCATTTTGGATAGATAACAATACACATGCGCGCACCCCTTAATTGTCGGAATTAAGTGAGATTAAGAGGATTTAGTTAATTAATTAATTAATTAAGTTATTTTTATTCTCATAAATATTTAAAACATTATTTGCAAATACCTGTTGCCTAATCTACTGACCTGACCACCGACCGTCACCATTTAATTATTTTCAGAGCATAGTCGTTATTATTCGTTTTATTAAATATATTATTTGGGATATACAAATTCCAAATTATAATTTTTAAATTAGAGGGACAAAATCAAAATTAAGCCAAAATTAAAAGTTTTTAAATAGTTTTTTAAATTATGATTACATTTTTTTAAAATATAAAATATCATTAATAATTCTTAAAATAATAGGAATAATATGATGTAAATTTTTTAACCCCATGTAAATTCTGACATAGTCACGTTACATATTCATCAACATAAGTTATTCTAGCATGTTTTGTCTTCCGTTATGCATCTCAAGAAAACCCATAAGAGGTCGTCGAACATAAAATTGTTCAAAATAAAGTACGTTTAACCATAATATTGCCACGAAAGGAAAGTACACATTGTTAGTGTAAGTAGGGATATAATCTCGATTCATCCATATACGCCTTATTTATTCGAATATCGAATTAAAGGTACCCTTAGTTGGGAGGGCAAAAGACAGACCATTTTCATGTGAGGGCCTTCAATGCATTGCTCCCACTTTCCCATCGAAGAGGACTGAGACCCATTTCGCGTCGCCTTGTAGGACCATCACACCCAACCCTCCACCTCATCCCATTTTCTTCCTAACTTTATATATTTATTATTATTTTTTTAATTCTACTTTTAATAAAAATAAATAAATCATATATCAACCTCTGATAAAAAATAAAATAATAATAATAATACAAGAGCTCGATTTTTAATATTAATAAAAAATATTTTTTTATTTTATATGGAGTATTTCATTATATGGTTGGTCAATTAGACTAATCATTATTTTTAAGACTTTATAATAATAATAAAAAGACATT